GGCTGGAAGGCATGAGGAATCTGGGTTTGTCTTGTTTGGAGAAAAGGAGGTTGAAGGACGACCTCATTGCTTTCTACAGGTTCCTGAGGAGGGGATGTGGAGAGGGAGGTGCTGAGCTCTTCTTCCTGGAATCCAGTAATAGGATGCATGGGAATGGTTCAAAGCTGCACCAGGGGAGGTTTAGACTGGACATTAGGAAGCATTTATTTACTGAGAGGCTGGTCCGACACTGGAACAGGCTTCCTAGAGAGGTGGTCGATGCCCCAAACCAGTCAGTGTTTAAGAGGCATATGGACAATGCCCTTATGTTTTGCCCAGTGTTTTAACAATTAGCAGGGGTAGACAGAAAGGACACCAGCACCAACCAAAAGAGTAAGCTTATTTTACTGATTATCTTGAGGTACTACAAAAAAAAAAAAAAAAGGAATAATAAAGTGAGCAACAGAATAAGCTAACTGTATTGCTAAGCAACAACACAAAATTATAGGCAATGCACCTAATTATTACTACATAAAGTTAGTGACAGTGATTAAGAAATATCCATCACCAATTGCCCTATTTACCATCATCCAGACCCACAGTTGCTGGGGTGCCCCGGAGCAGTGAGGGTTAGGAGAACCTCTCCTCAGCACTTGGGAAGTCCTGCGCAGTGTGTCCACCCACAGATGAGGCCACCAAAGAGTTGCTGCATGGGGGCCCAGGTTTATAGTGCTTAATTATTGAAGTCAGCAAGTCAGGATGACTTGTATTTTTCTTTGTGTGGAAATATCTGGCACCTTATCTTCCAGGCTGGATTCTGCCCAAAGTCTGGCCAGTCCTTAGGGAGGAATCCAAGGACTATTTCTGTCCTTGCGGTTTTAGTCACATATTTCTCAACTAGTACCTGTCCAGTCTCACCATCTCTTTCAATCCTAACCAAGGACATTTGCTGATTACATGTATTATTACTTCTGCTGATGGCTGCTAAAAAGTTGCTGATTGCTGCTGCACTATAAATGTTATAACAAATACAGTCTTTGCAGGGTCTGTCTTGAGGTCAGCAATTAGTTTGGACCTGTTACCCAGGCCTTGGTATATCACTTTAACATACTTTAACTTGGTCAGCCCTGAAGTGGGCAGGCAGCTGGACAAGGTGGTCGTTGTAGGTCCCTTCCAACTGAACTATTATATTCTAAAGTCTATTCTAAAAGTTCACTTGTCTTAGTTAATAACACATGGGTATTAAGGATGGAGTAGCACTCTGAATCTATAAGCATTTCTCTGCATCAGAACTTCCTTCCTTGGCTTCCCTTTTACACTCTTCAATGTTGTTTTTAAAAGCTTTCATTTTAAAATTTCTTGTATGGCTTATATTGAGAAGTTTCATACAGCCCAAACATTTGGACTCCTGGTAAAAGGAAAGGAAGTTTCCTTTGGGTCAAGAACTGTCATCCTTGATTGTCCTCTCAGCCTGGCAGCTTCAGTAGGTTGCACAAGTAGAATTATATGCAAGTTAATGTGGACCAGGTGTAAAGGTAGAGGAGGAAATCCCCAGCACCCAACCACTGAATTCCTGCGTCTTCTCATCCTGTCCAGTCTGATCCTCTGTCTCAACTGTTGTTCCTGTGGCAAAGTGGAAGTAACGGATAGGAAAATTGCTGCTGCTGTCACCTGTAATCTCTGTGGTATTTTTCCTGCCTGTTGTTGGGAAGGGTCACAGCTGTATGTGAAGCAGAGACAGCTGTGTCTGTGTGTTGTCCATGTGGATAACTGCAGTACTCTGTACCAGGGATTTAAAAAATCCAATTTCAAACAAAAAGATACCAGATGGTCAGGGGAATTAAGAGAGTTTAATTTGGCAATTTAGTTGCAGCTCTGTGCAGTAAGTGTGCTTTTCATGTACCCAATAGAAAAAAGGATGGAACAAATTAGTATTTTTGAATAGGTATATGCCTTATTTATAGTGTGCTCTTACTGCATACTGATTTGAACTGTGTCATACTGGTTAACTGGCTTTTTGTAAAGAGTTAAACCATATAGGAGAAATCTTAGACCCATCTGAAAGAGGGATCTACAGAATACAAAAATATGCCAGTTTCTCTGGAATACAGTTCAAACCTGCTATAAAGCTATATAAAAACTCTTTACATGAGGAAAATAAGTGATGCAGGTGTCCCAAACAGTATCAGATCCTTCCTGTTTATTTTAGTGTTCTCTCTTTGGTCAATTCAGTACAATCGAGAGAAGAAAAAACATGTAAGTAAAATACCACAGTTTGATCTGATTGTAAGCTTTGTGCTCTCAGGGGAAGAATCCTTCCTGGGAATTCTTGAGAGGAAAAGAAAAGCCTAAATGCTTCTTAGAAACCATTTTCATAATAGTTTTTGAAAGCAAATAGCAGCCTGTGTCAAGATACTAACTTCCTATTTTCTTTATTCTCCCAGGGGGTCATTGAGTTCTCCCTTTGTCTTCTCTTTGCAAAGCTGGTGAGCTATACGTTCCTCTTCTGGCTTCCCCTCTATATCACAAATGTAGGTAAGTATCACAGTAAGGGGATAGAGAATTATGACTACAAAGTGTATGGAAATGTGAGCTTGAAATAAATAAGAAAATAAACATTACTGCTTCTGAAATAGGCTCTTTGCTACAGTAGCAGGTGAGTTGTAAGTCACCAACTACCATATTTCTCAGTTTTATGAATTTCGTATCATGTGAGGGCATTCTCAAAACAAAGAAAGAAAGAATCTGGCTTATCTTCAGCAATTCAAAGCATAAATGCTGTGTCTGCTACCTGAAGATGAGGAAATACTTCTTTACTTTGAGGCTGACAGAGCACTGGAACAGGCTGCCCAGAGAGAGGGAGTCTTCTTCTCTGGAGATATTAAAAACCCACCTGGATGCAGTCCTGTGTGACCTGCTCCACATGTTACCTACTTTGGTAGAGTGGTTGGACTAGATGTTCTCCAGAGGTCCCTTCCAGCCCTACCATTCTGTGATTCTGTCTTTGGCTCTTGCAAACCAATCAAAAAGGCTTACTTTCCAATAGTGTTTTCACATGATTGAAGTGCCTCATTAAAATGTATGCTCCTTTATGTGTTCAGTACTGCTTTGTGCTGTAGCGTGTAGAGAAAGGAGTTTTCCCTAGCCAGAGAAATTCATGTTCTTATGAGTTCTTATGTGACCTTTAAACCCCCAGCTAACAAAAAAGCTGTGCTGGACGAGTATGTCAGTAGCAACTAGCAGAGAGAGACAGTGTGAATAACCAATGCTCCTGCAGGACTGGGTACCTTGAAAGCAGCAAGCTTTTAATAGAAAGGTTAAAGATATTTACCACAGTATTGCTATCTGTGCTGTGGCAGGTGTTGATGAGGTTGTGGTAGTGCCACTGACCACAGTTTTAGCACATACTGCTCCTTCAAATGTATTTCAGGGACTTAAAAAAACCCAACAACAACCCCCGCCCCCAAAACCCCAAAAAACAAACAAAAAAAACCCCACCAAAGGGTTTAGAAATTCAGCTTATTTTGAAACTTATATGAAACTTCCCACAATAGGACTGGGCTGTGCAACTTCCTGGTGTAGTTTTGGAAATCTGACCCTGTAGCATATCAGTAACTACGTTAGACTAAATGTAAGTATGTGCAAACAGTGATCTTCACTGCCCATGGCACACAGTGGAGTTAAGGAAATCACTGTCTCTTCATAGTCCCCATAAGTGTTTAAGTGTTCCAGGCCAGGCTGGATGAGGCTTTGAGCAACCTGGTCTAGTGGAAGGTGTCCCTGCTGATGGCAGGGGGGTTGGAACTGGATGATCTTTAAGGTCCCTTCCAACCCAGTCCATTCTGTGATTCTATAAACTGCACAGCACATGTTGTGCCAAGCAGGGTTGCCAGACATAATTTCATGATGAATGTTACTGGTCACGTGATGGAGACCTCCAGGGTGAGGCTCTCTTAGTGATCCAAATGTACGCTAATTGTGCTTTTAGAGCAAAGAGCCTCGGGAGTGTTTGTTAACCATTTATAAATCTGTCTGTTCACAAATGGGAATATTGTTAGTCCAAATTTTAACAATCAGCTGCTCTATTGCTTAGACTGTATCTATAATTAAAGTGGTAAAATGTCCTGCCATGAGTGCAATTGCATTCAAAAGACTGTATCCCTGATACCCAGTTATGATATGTTCTTGTTTGTCATATACAATGACAGGGTATGGTAGCTTATTCCTTTGAACAAACAATATTGCTGTAAGACACCTTTACCTCAGCATGACAAGACTGTGTTGAGATTTCTATGTTTTGTAGTCTGGAAATGAGACAAATGAGTTTTTATCTTATCACTAGAACATCTTGATGCCAAAAGAGCAGGGGACCTTTCTACGTTGTTTGATGTCGGTGGAATCTTTGGTAAGTTTTATATATCAATATTTCATCCTTTATCAGACCAGTTTAGGAAAAGCTGTGGTTTGCACAGCTTACCTATATTATTAGTCCTTGTGCCTTATGTCCACTGAAAAGAGTGGCAGTAAAGGTACTAAGTTGAGAGCTGGATTGGTTGTTGAAAACCTAGCAAAATATCTTCAAATTGAACAACTCGCAGAGCCAATTATATTGTCCAGTACAGATTGTAAGAGCCAAATATTAAGGAATCTTTTAGCTCCATCAGCTCTGGCCTATGAGTCTTAGTCACACCACCTGTTGAAGTATCTTCCTTTTGTCACTCTGACATAACAGAACTATCTTGGCTTGTACAGTTGTGGTTTGGTTTGTTTTGGTTTTGTTTTTTTTGCAAGCACAGAGGCAAATGGCCACAGGTGTTTTGTGGAGGGGTTTTTTTGTTGTATTTTTTCTTAATGCCTTATATAACTGTATGTGATAAACTTGAGAGATTGTAATAGTAATAAGGATGAGACTACTCCTTTATAATTTGCAGACAGCATAGCTCACAACAAAACAAGCATCATCATCTTGATGCCCAGCTGATTTGCGTGACCTGCGTCCCCCTCCATTTCCCCCAGTTCCCTTATGGAAATAAGCCCTGTGTCAGGCTATTGGAAAATGATACTTATGCTGGAGAAGTTTCACTGGATCAAGAGCTACGTGACCCTGGTAGTTCAAGATGCAGGTGTCAAGGTGTATTGCAGTTACTGTTCCAGTCTTGTGCTGGATGTGACTTCTGCCATTTCTCATTGCTCATTTCATCCCAGTTAGCTGGAAGCCAGAGTTAGTAGTACCTTAGAGATGTGGATGGCTTCTTTCAGCAGCATCTTATTCTACTGTGAATGCAAAATTAAGGTGCTGTGTGCTGCTTAAACCTTTGGCATTTACATTTAAATTCAAGTGGGATGTGAGCACTTTGGAGATGGGCAGCTGGGAAGGGAGAGGCAGACCCAGTGATATTTAGGAATCTGGAGAATCCAGAGAACTTCCTTCTCCCCATACCAAGTTCCCTTTATATCGTTTTGGCAGCAGTTTCCTTCAGGCCTTCCAGCCCCCTCCTGCCACAGGCTCTGATTAGTACTTCTGTGTACAGTTGTTGGCAAACACAAGAAACAGAGAACAGTAAAGAGCCTGGAGAGAAAAACAAGTATTCCATTTGTCCCAGGATCTAGAATGGCTCATTTCCCCTGGTTGCAGTGCAAGATGGATGGAGCACTCGGGAGCCAAATTTATTTTTGCATATGAGGAGTTGAGACCAGTGAGTAGCTGGGCACAGCTGGATTCCAGAGTGCCAGCAGTGAGGCTACGTGGCACCTGGTGAAAAGGCTCTTTGCATTCAAAAGCAGCAGAACAATGATTTCTAAATATTTCTTCAATCTCTGTTCCACCCCTGTCCTGTCATCTTGGATATTTGGTTGGCCTAAACAATGAGGAAGAACAACTGTCTGCTTGTGTTGTCTTCGAAGTCAAAACTGGTTGGGTTAATGAGGATATTGCTAAGTGCGAATTATGTCGTCGGTCTCATGTTCTGTGCTGCTGTGTATAAGCAGACATTAAAAGTCCTATCCTATTGTTTTAATATGGCTTGGGTTTCATTAAGTATAACTGATGTCTTTTGTGTTAAACACGTGCAGAGTGTTTTCCTCACACACCTATCTCTTCTTTCAGGTGGAATTTTGGCAGGCCTGATTTCAGACAAGCTAGAGAAGAGGGCATCAACCTGTGGAATGATGTTATTGCTTGCAGCACCTACAGTAAGAGTTTGCCCCTCTCTTACAGCTGCAGCTGAGACTTTGACAGCAGTACTTGGGAAGTTCTGCAAATAGCATCTTCTAACTTGGATATAAAGAGTTCAGGCCAGGTTAAAAGCTGGCATGGAAAGTTGAGCATGTGAGCAAGTATAGACATTTAGGCTGCCTTTACTAAACAAGCAAGCAAGTCTAGTGCAGTGCTTGCTACAGGGGCTATGTGGAAATTTTGTCACTGTTTGGTGTCTGTTCTGGCCAGAACTTTAGTTGCTCAAAGACTAAAATTTCTGTGCTGTAACTATTGGTAAACTGGCAGTTGGACATATGAGCTGCATTTTTCTTTAAGTTTTGATAATTTTGTGAGCAGTATTCTGTGCTGTGTTGCAGCTCACAATTGGAGAGTTTAAAATGGAGTGGTCTCCTAACACAGCTCTTTCTTCTGAAAGGACATACTGAGGAATCGGATCATATCTCCCTTATCTGTTCCCTTATCTCCCTCCTCTGTCTGATCAAACAACAATCCTGCTGTGGTCTGAAGCATTTAGTAAAACCTAGGATGCTAGAACTAGCTTTCACATAATGCCAACTAAGATAATTTTTAAGATATAATGGGGAAAATGGGTAACCTAAGGTTAGTACATATGTTGGTATTCAACACACTTGATTTTTTGTCTTTGCAGTTGTACATGTTCTCTGCAATCAGTAAAATGGGCCTTGAGGCTACTGTGGGCGAGTATTTTTAAGTTCTTTTCTGCCTGGGTTTATGTGAACTTTTAATTTATGATCCTTTGATGCTTTCCTCCTATTTTTTTCTTTTTATTTTATTTTTTCCCAGAGAGGGGGAAGTATGGAATCAAATTCCCTAGACTTTGTCTTGCAGAATTTTTATGGGTTAAGGAAGGAGGCTAGGGAATAAGTAAGGGGTGGCATGAGAACAGTGATTTAGTTAATATCATTAGTCATCTTTCTGGAGCTTGTTGCATCAGCACAGGCTGTCAGAGGTGTTTAAAGACTAGTACTTTTGACAGCAGCACTAATTTTACTTGTTTAGGCTGAAGTAACTTGTGTCTTTCTGTCTAATACCTCAAAACAGAAGTTGAAGCACAGGTGCTGATAGTAGTGTCCGTTTGCCTAAAGGCCTTGTTAAATTTTAGGGCCCTATGGTGCTTGGTGCTGTACAAGCAGAGAAGTGACTTATGGGTAGCTCCCTGTGAACAACTCCTGCTCTTAGGGTCTTTTTGGTCAGACTTTTCCCTTTCTCTGACCTGCCAGGATCAGTAAAGGCCCTGGGAAGTTCCTTTTGACTCAGCCCTGTCTCCTCTTGCATTTGAGAATTCATGTCATGGAGTAAGCATTGCAGGGAGATACAAACATATGTTGCTTTTCCCCCTTTCCTAATTTTGTAATGGGGCCAGGGGAGCCAAGGAAAGATTAAACCTATTGAGAAGCCCAGGTTATGATGTATCCTGTTGCTATAGTTAACAATCATTCAACCAACTCAACATTTTCCATTTTTGTCCCACTTGCAACAGTAATGCTGCTTATCAGTGGTGCCCTGGTGAATGGCCCTTATGCACTGATCACCACTGCTGTCTCTGCTGACTTGGTGAGTATGGCTTCCCCTCTGCTTCCTGTGTAGCAGCTTTGGCCTCCAGAGAGAGCCCTTTGACTTCTTCAGGGTCATCAGTAAAGGGACTACATTGTCCCAAAGCAAAGGGATAAGGAGCTGGATAGGCAGCGTTGAACTCTGCCATTGAGATTGTTTTAGAATTTGTGTATTAGTATGAACGAGTGTCATGCTTGTGAGAGGCTTCTAAATTATTCTTGCCTACTTAACAAGACAGACCAAATCTTGTAGATGACAGCCCAATGAAGGTTGCATGCAAGGCCAAGTCTCTGTACAGGTACCTTCTCCCTTTTTATCCTTTGCATCTTTAAATGAGGGGAGTAGCTGTATCTGTGAGGGATGAGCTGGAGTCTTCATTCCCGTCAGTGCAGAACACTATACCTGACACATACCTTTACTTTTGTCCGCATTACCCTCTGCCCTATCTGGCACAGTTACTCTGGTTGCTGACACTTCCACCTGGATGAGGTCAGTCAGTCACAGATGCCATGTGAAAACATTGACCCTGGTACCTTTCATTAGGTAGGCTTTGGAAGGTTGCTTTCAAAGGTCCTCATTCCTTAAGGAACCAAGCAAATGCAGAAGTCCTTTTAATAACAAATGCACTAAATATAGGAAAAGGAGCAGGACAGAAATCTCTAAATGTCCTCTGGAGCCCTATCCTTGGCCTGGAGGTCTTGGCAAGACAAAGACAGCCACCTTACATTCCCCATTTTATCCTTAGCCTTGTTGAAGGGGCTGCTATCTAGAGGGTGGGGCCTGGCATTGCAAGATCCCTGCGTGGCCCTTGGGAAGAGGATTGAAATTGCCAACCTGTTCCTCAGATGTCAGCAACCAAACATCTGACAAATTGCTGATTACCTTACTGAATTCTCCTCAGTGTACTGGAGATAAAGGACTGTCCCTTATTAGCAGTTTTCTAAACTGTTCACTTTCTCTATCTTTACACTAAGTCGCTCCCTTTATTGCTTGTTTTGTTTTGAAGACCTGGCTTCTAAAATTGGGACTGAACAGTTTCTTTTAGCTCAAGAACTCTCGGAATTAGCATTTCAGTATATATCCATGGTCCTGGTACTGTAGTATTCCTGTCACAGCAATAATCCGTTTTATTTTGTGGTTCCACAGAGCTTTGCCATATTAGCAGGAGAAAAGATGGCTCTGGAAACAGCTTTGCAGCATAACGCAAAGCTGAAGCGCCATCCTCGTTGCTTGAATCCACAGTGTGCAGAACAGAAAGCTGCTTGGCTCCTGTGATTTAAATAACATGATTGAATAAAGGAGAATGCTGTAGGCAACAGGTTGATGGGGTAGAAGGCTTCTTTAAGTAGTGATAAATGGTTTGTGCTAGGATATTTAAGGCAACTTCACAATGTACATCTAACGTGAAGGGGTGTCAGCTAAATTGCCATTGTAAGGACTTTTTCTGAGTTCAACTCAGTGTGGTTCTAAGCAGCCTTTGTCACTTTAGGGTACCCATAAAAGCCTGAAAGGGAATGCGAGAGCCTTGTCCACAGTGACAGCGATCATCGACGGAACAGGATCTGTAGGTAAGCCAGATCTACAAGGTAGTCTGCCTTAGCTGTGGTAGGTTAAAACAAAGGGCCTTTGAGAAACTAGGCTCTTCACATTTTTTCAGGACTCAGTACAGCTTTGGAAATGGGGAGTAGAGCAAACTTAGCCTTAAACCTCTCTAGTGGTCCCACACCTGAGAGAACAGAGGGAGGAAAAGGGTGGTAGACTGATGCTGGGCACAGACAGCAAAAGTAGATGTCATTGGGCTGTTTCTGAGTTCAGGGATGTTTTACTCGTGCCCTTGGCACTGGAATGTGGAGTGGGATTCAGCTTAATACTGGATGGACATTTTGTTAAGCTAAAGGATGGCATTTCTCAAACTTCTAGTCTTCCAGTTTCCCCTGTGTTAGGGTTCCCATTGGCTTGCAGCTGTACCAGTATTGTTTTGCACTTTCTGGGACCTTTTCCTACATAAGGTAATACTAAGTTAACTAGGTGGAGAAATTAATATTCTAACTCAGAATAACTGTCTTTCAGCATAGTAAATCTTTCATGGCATCATTCTGACAATATTGGTATTATATTTTAGGTGCAGCTTTGGGGCCTCTCTTAGCTGGTCTTATTTCTCCATCTGGTTGGAACAACGTGTTTTACATGCTCATGATGGCAGATGCATGTGCCTTGCTAGTAAGTTTCTAAAAATACTATTTAGTTGCCATGTATTTCCTTTGTGCTAAACTATCTCAAAATGCAAATTTTCCTTTTGCAATTTTAATACTCCATCTTATAAGAAACTTCCAGTTGTGTAGGAAATTTCCAGTTAAAGAGTGAAGTTGCTCACTTTGAAATTCTCATCTAATCTTAATCAAAAGTGCAGATTAGTTCTGATGCACTTCAATTTCTGAGCAAATATACATCTGTTAATTGCTGGGTGAGCAGACTCCAGCAGGCATAATTATTTACACCTAGAAGATGCCTTGGCTCCCACTCACGGAATAATTATTTCTGTTTTCTTTAAAGTCAGTTTAGCGAAGTGGTAACAAATGCTTTGCTACGTTGCTATATCACCAAAATCACCACAATAATGAAGCTGTTGAAAGTTAATACATCACATTCTCCAGACTGGCCCTAAAACTGCTGTAGTAGGTTAGATGAAAAACTGACATCTTAACTTTTGACAGTAACTAGGAGCAGATGTTTAGGGAGAAGGAGTGCAACACACACGTGGTGGCTTGGTACAAAGCACACCCATTTTCTTTTTTTGTCTCCCGTCTGAGATCCTGTATGTTGGATGGCTTTTTTTTGGTTTTTTTTTCTTCTGATTTGCCCTGCTTTGCTTTTAAAGACCAAAGACAACACGAGATGAGGCAAGGCAAGTCTTGCTGTACCTTTGAAGTTGATCTTGCTGGACTCACCTGTAGGTTAGCCTGTAGGTGAACGTTTTTGCGTTTGCCACAGATTCCCCTGGCAGGTGTCTGCGCCAGCTTTGTTCTCCAGCAGAGCAGAATGCAGAGTGACTACCTCAGAGATGTCCTGAAGTGTCACTTGCTTATCCTCTCCTTTTGAAGTCCTGCGTGGAAGTGCTCATGAAAGAGCAGGATTACTGTGAAACACTTCAGAAATACTTCTTCCTCTCTACTGGCTGTGCCCAGACAAAACCCTGTGCCTGCACGGTGTTGCACTGAGGTCTGTGCTCCAGCAGAGAAGCTAGTGCTGGGAATGTCAGATCACTCTTTAAAAAAAAAGCAGAAATCCTTGCTTTGAGTTACTATTGAGGCTTTTTTTCTAAGATCAAGTTATACTTTAAAGTAATGTTTTCCACGTTTAAGATGTGAAATCTCTGGAAATTAGGTAAGTTAATAGTTGAAGTATGTTCCCACTGGTAGTCAACATCTCTAAAAGTGCTGATTTATGCTGTTTTCAGTATTAGATATTCCATGCTGCAGAGTGAGGTTTGGGAGATTGTAGTTTTCCCAAGTAGATTTAAAGCTCTGCTTTTTTTCTTTTATATACTTATTAAAACCAAATGAAAAAAACCCACATTTCTTTACAGCATCAGTTAAAATGCCTTTGTAAAGCTCTGTTTCTCAGAGGGTTGACTCTGTGCTGTTGTAATAAATCATGTTTTTTTATAACTCTTGTTCTGCTTTTACTGTTCTTTACAGTACAGCATATGCCTGTGTTCAACTGTTGTTTCATCAAAGATATCTGGAGGGGCTTTAGCCTCTTATGTGATATTCAGTTCTGTCATGCTTGGCCACTTGCATACCTCTGAAATGTTAGATTTAACTTCTCAAAACACCAATACTTATAAAAGTGAAGAAACTTCCATTTATAACAGTGAGACTTTGAGGATAAGGAAACCTGTAACATTGAGGAACCCTGAAAGTTCTTATTCTGTCTTTAATGTACGTGAAAGTCATCAAATTTGTTTGTAAAATCTTAGTACACCTTTTAAAGTGCACTGGAAAGTGCACTTTTAAAATCCTGCACACATAAGTAAACATGACTGACTTCACTCATCTTAACTAATTATGCAATTCGAGTTTTTCACACACAGCTGTTTTTCAGAATAGCAGCGAAAATAGTTTTATGCTCCAAAATTTCTCTGTCATATTTTCTTGAAGTCTTGGGTTCCCTCTGCTGGTTTCTATACATGTCTGCTGGTAAAGTAACTTTGGAAAGCCATTCAGGTTTTTATGAAGAAATTGATCTCTTAGTTGCAAAAAGGAAGTTATCTTTCTCTTGCCTATTCATTGTGAAAGCTCCTCTTCCAAACATTGAGCATCTGTAAATCTTTAATTTTTTGTTCCTGAGTTCAGCATTACAGGGTAATGTTTCAAATGAGGAACTCTTTGAATAGGTGTACATCTTACCCTGAAACTTAGCTTATTTGTATATCTGCATAGATATTAACACAGATACTGTGGCTGTTTTTACAGTTCTTACTCCGTCTTATTCAGAAGGAACTTCGGTGTAACACAGATCATACCCTGTAAGTGTTATGCATGGTTGTTGCTTTTTAATAACAGTTTAAAACCACGTTACTAAACCATTACCCCCTAATATCTAGGGGGGTAGATGTAGACTGAACGCGTTAAGGCTTCTGCATGTCCATCTCTGGTTTAATTTTGCTTCAAAAGAGTAATCTCGTTTTGATGTTTTCAAACCATGAGCATTTTTCTTTAGAACATCTTATTTTGAAAAGCACCTGAAAACATATTTCTCTACTACAGTCTTAGTTATTGGGGTTTTTTTTCCCCAAATATGTAATCTTCCTGGTTTTCATTATGGAGCATGCGGGTGGGGAGTAAGTAGCTACTCAACTGCTTACTCTGTGTTCCTCAGTAATTTCAAATGTAACATGGAAAATGGGAAGGATTAAAAGGAAAAGGGGACGCAAAACACTCCGGTGCTTTGAATTGAGGGGGAATAAAAAAATCCACTGAATGAACAGGGTTACACTTGCCCAAGAAAAATCTAATGTGGACCTCTTGGCTCCAGCTTTGGAGAAGTAAAATGGTTAGAGAATAGAAAAAAGCGTGGCAAGGAATGGATCCTGCATTTTGAAGTTAGTGACTGTTATGCCTCGCACCTCAATTTTTCCTGTCTGATTGCTCTTCTTTCCTAGGTTTAAAGAACACTGAGCTAAGAGACCAGATTTGGAATAAGGACTGTGTCAGTGATCAGAGCTCTTCCCTGGAAAACAAACAAACAAACAACTTCATGGAATGCATTATTCTATATTTAAGAGATTCTGTTTGGTGAAGAACTTTGCACGTTTATTGGAAGCAATGTGAGAAATGCAACTGGTAAATCCCCAAAGCTCCTATTTTTGCACATGAATAAGTACCTCAGGATGGCAACTATTCATCAGATGAAGAGACAGGAACTTTGGGAAGGTTTTTAGCAGCGCGCCTCAACTGAGCCAAAGAGAAATACCAAGTGCCTTTTTATTTCTTTCAATAGGATGTTTTTAATTAAAATGCCGAACAGTGTATTCTCCAAAACCAAGTCAAAACAAGAGCAGAAGGAAGTTGAAATCGTAACAGTCTAGCAGTGAAATGTCCCAGTGTCAGTGAGCAAAGTATGTATCCCTTATGTCATCTTGCACACATTGAGGGCATCACTTTATAGAGGACAATACCAGGTTATTAAGCTGCACTGCCATTAGGATTTTGAAGCTGCTCAGACAATAACCTCACCATATTATTAGTTTTTAACTACAGTACTACTTCTAATCCCAAGGACAACATCCAGCTTTTTGGTTGGTAATGAAATGGAATTTACTGTTGTGGTGTACCACAGTTAGCAGTTTTCACAGACTCTCTGGGTGGATGTTAGTCCTCAATTAGGATTGTGCAAAAAAGGAGTCCTAAGCAACAAAAAGCAGATTATGAGTCAGAATTTCCAGTGGAGGACTCTGATGATTTTCAGGGCATTATAAACTGGTTGTGCAAATGTCATGTAATTGTTGTGCTGCTCCTTTAGGGCGGGTTGTAATGAGAGGTTGTTCCTTTGGGATGGCAGAGAACAGTGAGCTGTTGTACTTCAGCACTACAGGATTGAACAGCTGAGCTGCTTCAGTGCCCACTGCCGCAGTGATCTCTGTGATCTCTCTTGGGTACTCCCAGTGCCGGTGTGTGCACATGGGAGTCGTTGTCAGATCAGGGCCTTAATAACCAGAAATCTTGCAAGTGGCTCATTTCACGTGGCTGTGAATTTCAAATTCGGAACCAAAAG